TTGGAACGTCAGAGTATCTAGAAAAAACTCATGGATATATATATAAGGATTCAGTCTGTGATGAAGTTGAGAAAAGACAAACTGGTAATGGCAATGGGAAAATTAGCTGTTTGGAATAATTAGAGATTTTTGCTTTATACTGATTATAAGGACAAATACCAAATGGAATAAAAAGTTAAATAGAAGGGCTAGAGAGATGGCTCAGTGGTTAAAGCAGTTGCTGATCTTCCAGAGGTCCTGAGTTCAGTTCCCAGCACCGATGTCAGGTGGATCACAATTGCTGTAACCCCAGGTCCAAGGGATTCAGTGCCCTCTTCTGACCTCCACAGGCACCCACACACATGGCATATACTCACACACATACACATAAATAATAGAAAATAAATCTTTAAAAAGAAAAAAGTTAAATAGGAAACATGAAAGCATGTCAGGTATGGTGGCACAGATCTTTAATCTTCAGGTTTATAGAGTGAGTCTACATAGTTCCAGGCCAGCCAGTGCTGCAGAGACTGTCTCAAAAAAGAAAGAAAGGGGGAAAAAAAAGAAAAAAATGTAAATGTGGATAAAATAAAATGCCTTGTTCATTCTTGGAGTAAGGAAGCCTTTCTCACATAAGAGAGAGAAAAAAAAGAAATCACCAAGGAACATCTTGATAAATTTAACTATATAACAGGGCTGGAGAGATGGCTGCTCTTGCAGAGCACCTGGGTTTGATTCTCAGCACCCATGTGGCAGTTAACAACCATCTGTAATTCCAGTTCCAGGGGATCTTACGTCCTCTTCTGACCTCTGTGGGCATTGCACGACACGGGTACACTTAAACATGAAGGCAGTACATTCATACATGTGAAAAAAAAAATGTGTTGTCTTTAAAACAAAAAATTAACCAATGCATGCCTTTAATCCCAGCACTTGGAAGGCAGTGGCAGGGGATCTCTGTGCGTTCGAGGCCAGCCTGGTCCACATCATGAGTCCCAGGACGGCTGCAGGGCTGCAGAGAGACACTAATCTCAAAAAGACGTGCCCCACCCCCCCCCAAAAAAAAAAAATCACAAAAACTTCTGTGTCTGTTTCAGGGCTGGGAAACAGCTATGTGGTAGAACAGGCTCCTCACATACAAGGCCTTTGGTTTAATCTTCGCCCCCACCCAAAAAGAAAAAATAAGACTTACATAGTAATAAGGTTAGACAGGTGGCGGCAGACTTGGTGAAAATGTTTGTGATACAAATTAACTGAATCTCCAGCACTTGGGAGGCAGAGGCAGGCGGATCTCTCTGAGTTCCAGGATAGCAGGGCTACAGGGAGACCCTGTCTCAAAAAGACCGAAAAAAAAAAAAAACCCAAAACAAAACAAAAACAACTGAATCTCTACAAATGAGCAGGGAGTGGAAAAAGGTCTAATAGAAATGAACAGGGGCTGGAGAGATGGCTCAGCAGTTAAGAGCACTCACTGCTCTTACAGAGGACCCAGGTTCGATTCCCAACACCCACATGGAGGCTACAAACCGTCCTTAACTCCAGTTTCAGAGGAATCCGAAGCCCTCTTCTGACCTCTGCGGCATTGCACAACACGGATGCACTCATACATGTAGGCAATACACTCATACACATTAAAAAAAAAATGAACAAAAGACATTGAGTGAGCTGGTTATTAATGATTTCTACAATGCTTTTCTTCCCTTTGTTGAGCACTGACAGTGATAAAGATGTTCTGTCTTTGCAATATGTATGTTACAAATGTAGCTAGTTGACTTACTGTTGAGACTTAAGTATCTCATAAAATGTTGTAAACACAGACCAGTGTACACAGTCTGCATGCATACTTTCATAGTACACATTCCACCTAATTGTATCAGGCTATAGCTTCTTCCTTTGCTTCTTTCTGCTGGTGGGCAGGACCATCTTTTTACCAACTAATGGAACACAGCATGTGTGTTGTGGTTTCTTTTTAACCAGAATATAAGAAAGTATTTGCTGACTGAAGCCAGAGAAAAAAATAGACCTGAATTTCTTCAGGGTTGGCAGACTGCTGTTACAAAGGTGAGTGTGTGATACAAATGAAATTCCAGCATGTGGTGGGAGGCTGCGATCCAAGTGGTGGGTGCTTTTGAGAGCATTTGAAGACTGCTGATAGAGAACCTCCTGGATGTTCCAGGGAGGTACCCTCTAAATAAATCTATGTAGTGCTTAGTCATCCTGGGGCTCAGTTTCCAGGTACTTGTTGGGAGCACATGTCAGTCCTGTCATCTCTGGTGTAGTTAGTAATCGTGTTGCTCTACGGAAAAACAAAGTTTTGGTGGGAGAGGTGGCACGTACTTCTTGCTTTGTAGCTGTTATTTATGTATGATCCATATATACTGAGAGAAATGCTAAAATGACTATTCTGGCCCACTAAGAGAACAAGAAATACTATTTTCCAAGCACATAGGTAAGACTCACATGTTTGACCTGTAGAATAAAGCTGTCCTGAGCAGAGTGCCCAGGCATAGCCTCTCAACCCTGGTATTTTTTATGGTCTTTGTTTTATTTCCTTGTAATGATGTCATTTGACCTTTACAATCTGGTGGCAGGCAGTCCTTTAGAAATAAGTAGCATCTTTATTTTATAGGTGAAAACGCTGGACATTGGAACTGCTGTTAGAGGCAGTCCTCAAACTTTGGCCTGTCTAAATTATTGACAATGCTATATAGGCAGGGTCTTGAACTCAAACCCAAGGGTCCAGATTAGTTCATCTTTGAACTGAACCAAGTACTAAATTTTAAAATTGAGCCAAAGTTTTGAGCTTCTGATAACCTATACACTGGTTGAAACCTGAAGTGGACTTGTACGTGTTTCATTTTTTAAATTTAGTTTTTCTGAATTTCCCATCTAGCTAGCATATCTAGGTATTTTCCTTTTATCCATGGTCTTTTATATGCCCACCTTAGGCAAAATATAATAACTGCTTTCTTTTTTTTTTTTTTTTTTTTTTTTTTAAAAGCAAGGTCTCCCTGTAGCCCCAGCTGTCCTGGAACTCACTATGTAAACCACGCAGGCCTTGAATTCACAGAGATCCGCCTGCCTCTGCCTCCCAAGTGCTGGGACTACAGGCGTGCGCCACCACACCCAGCTAATAACTGCTTTTTTAAAAAAAATTTTTATTTTTATGTGTATTGCCTGCACGTAGGTAAGTGCACCTGTGTCGTGCAATGCCTGCGGAGGTCAGAAGAGGCTGTCAGATCCTCTGGGACTGGAGTTACAGACAGTTGTTAGCTGCCATGTAGGTGCTGGGATTCAAACCTGGGTCTTCTGCAAGAACAACCAGTGTTCTTAACCGCTGAGCCATCTCTCCAGCCCCTGACTGTTTCTTTCAGAAACATATTCTTTGCCTTTATGATTTCTTTCAAAGAATGGGACAGAGTTGTGTAATACAAGGTGAAAAGATTGCTGTGACAAAATATATGACAAAGGAGAAAGGGTTTATTTTGGATCAGTTTCAGGGTACAGTCCATCATAGCAGGAATGCATGGCCTGGTTACATCGCATGTCCAGCCAGGAAGCAGAGAGAGGTGAATGCTGGTGCTCAGCCTTTTTACGTAGTCTGGGATCCCAGCCCATGGAATAGTGTCACCCATATGTAGAGTAGGCCTTCCCTCCTCAGGTGACCTGATCTAGATAACCCCTCACAGGCATACCCTGAGACTTGTCTGGTGATTCTATATTCTGTCAAGTTGATAGTCAGCCATGGCATCATCTAAATGTTGAGTCCAAACGTGTTCTATGATCTACAGAGCCACTTTGTTTCCATTGTCAGTGAATTGATAGTACAACTAATCATCCAAGGGTTTTTTAGGCTTCAAGTTGTGGTTGCAACTTGAAAGATCTTTTCATGTGGCTAGAGGCCTCCATCAAATTAAGGCACTTACAATACTTGAGGTATATACCAACTGCCCTGGACAGAGACAAGTTTCCTGTCCCTTGCTCATTTACCCATGAAAGAAATTTTTTGTGAAAAGGAATATTTTGATATATTTTAATAATGATTTTATTTTCCCCTTAGTGTATTCCACAACAGAAAAATGACAGTGACTGTGGAGTCTTTGTGCTCCAGGTAAATAAATATTATTTTTTACAATACATGGATTGGGTTGTTGTGTTTAGAGAACAGAAATGACAATCTCTATGTGTAGATGGTAGTAGGTACAGGCAACACTCTTCTCTCTGTTGTTGAGATACACTGGTTCACTGATTTCTGCATTTGTAGATGTAATCTTTAGGAAGAATTACCTTCCAAGCCGAGAATGAACAGGGTTCTCATCAATGTCTTACTGGAGGTTATCCGTACACCAATCTTAACTGAAATCTGCCAGTGTCACAGACCACTGTTAACTGCAGAATTAACTAAAAGAAAAACAAAAATTGAAAAAAAACACTGGGCAGGTAATTTGAGGTCTTTTAGCTACATTAAAAAACTGCCATTTCATGCTAAAGGTCTCCTTGAAGGTCTAAAAGAACTGTAGAGGGGCTGGAGAGATGGCTCTGAGGTTAAAGAGTTCTTGCAGAGAATCCAGGTTTGGTTCCCAGCACCCACCGGATGCTAACAACCATCCATAACTCCAGTTCCAGGGGACCTGATGCCCTCTTTTGGCCTCCATTGGCATTGCATGACACAAGTGCACTTACATACACACAGGCAAAACACTCCTATACATAAAAATTTCAAAAAGCACTATGAAAAATTGTATACACTTTTACAGAAAAAAAAAATGACATCTGAGGTTACAGATTTACAAAGATCTTTTGAAGATAGCCTCATTATATACCACATGAATGGGGTTTGTAGAGAAATTCACGTTCCCACCTGGTTGTCTTGTGAGGTCCAAGTGCAGGCTCAGCAGGCTGTGCATGGGAAGAACTGGAAGCTCTTTATCAGTTGCTTCTTTTCACAGGATTGGGTGGTGTGGGTGGAAGGATATACTTGCCTGGAAAGCTGACTCTAATTTGGAAATCATTGTTATAAAACAGTGTTTTACAGGTTCCTACAAACTAGCTGGGTGTAATGGCACATGCCTTTAATCCCAGTACTCAGGAGGCAGAGGCAGGCAGATCTCTGTGAGTCGAGGCCAGCCTGGTCTACATAGTGAGTTCCAGGCCAGCTGGGGCTACAGAGAGACCCTGTCTATTTAAAAACAAAAACAAAAACCTACAAAGTTTAATATGCAGCATTAGACTGTATTAGATCTGCATGTGCTAAAACACAGTGGGTTAGAGCATAGCCCTCACACCATTTAAGTGTTTCTGGGACCTTTTGCAGTACTGCAAGTGCCTCGCCTTAGAGCAGCCTTTCCAGTTTTCTCAAGAAGACATGCCTAGAGTGCGGAAGAGGATCTATAAAGAACTGTGTGAATGCCGGCTCCTAGACTGAGATGCAGTAGGGACTCTGGAAGTCTGGCCACGTTGGAGCAGATGGTTTGTTACTTGAATCTCCAAACACTTAAGAATTTTTACAGATATTTCAGATCAGTGGTGTCGGACCACTATTGTTACCTCAAATTTATTTTTTGCCCTTATCATTTCTCCTAATATCATGTACTTTTTTAAATGTTCAGTTTCATTTTTAACTTTATGGATTCTGTGCGTCCCTCCCATATTTAATATTTATTATCCAAACGCATGCATATAGGCAGAGCATGCAGTAAAGAGTATTAAAAAAAAGCCTAGTAGATTTGGTGCAGCTTTTGAAACTTAGTTAGATGTGAACTGAATACAGGTTTAAAATTTAACCCCAGAACCTAAAAATGCAAGATGTTTTTTGATACAGTATAACTCAGAATACATGTTCTCTGTGGCAAAGGGTAGCTAGGAGTGCTTGTGGAAAAACAAGTCATATTTTACTTAGACCAGCAGCACTAATGTCCCTCCCAATGAATCTGAGCATGAGATGTATTCCTTTTGAGGATGAGGGGCAAGTGGCTGTATGCTGGGCTGCTCTCTTAGGGAAGCACACTTGCAAGGAGTGCTGCTTTGGGAAGAGTTATGGGATGAGAAAAAGGGAGTGAGGGACAGTTATCTTAAAGAATGAGGTTTGTTTCTTTTAATTTTTTGAGTCAAGGTCTCACAATATAGCCCAAGCTGGCTTGGAACTCAATGAAACTGTGCCAGCCTCAATCCCAGCCTAATCTTGCCCCAGTCTGTCCAGTGCTGCTATTGTACGTACATCCTATTGTGCCCTACAACAAGTATGATTTCCATCTTGGTCTTATGAATTTTTAAAATGGTTTAAATCTTATAAAGGCTTTTCCTGGGACATTGAATTCCCTGGATTTTTCTGGTTTTGACCTGTGAAGGGGGAAAAAAAACAAACAAACCTTAGCGTCCATCAAACTAATGGTCAAATAAATGAGAATTCAGCCTTGCTTAGAAGTGATTTGCAAGCTCTCACTTCTCTTTGTTCTATCTCATGTAGAAGATATTCAGGATTTACCAAAAATCAGGGTATCTGAAATATAAACATTCTAAATAAGAGACGGGCATGGTCTTTTGAAAACGGTGGGGAGAAGGGGTAAGCTAACAGCAGGTTCTGTGGGACTGCAGCACACATTAGGAATGTTCCCCTCCAGTCTTCTCAGAGGCTCAGCATCATTTGGCTTCTACAAGAACAGTCTGAACCCCATACCCAGGAGTTTCCCTTTTCCCTTTGTTGAACCTCATCCCCCAGGGACAGGCTGCAAAGTAGTCGTCTTAGCTGTAGAAGGATGAGAGTGGTGGATCTTACACCTTGAATCTGGCCTTTTTGTGACATATTTGAAAGGAAAGCAAATAAGATGCATGCTAACCCTCTAACCAGTTGTCATTTCTGAATTGGAGGGGAGTATCATAAACTTCTATGCCTGGTCAGGTGTGAGCTGTTTGAAAAACAAAAGGTTTAGTTTAATTTGGCCATAGGTATGGCTGAGCAGGGCTTACTGCCTTGGTTAGGAATTGAATTTGAATCAGGACTTAAATTTACATGTAAGACTCCCAATAGCAGTGTGGACACTGGGTAGCTGCCCTGGCACTCTTCTCTCCTAACGCCTCCAGACTCAAAAGTCCTTACCAGCTGGGCATGATGGCGCACACCTTTAATCCCAGCACTTGCGAGGCAGAGGCAGAGGCAGAGGCAGGCGGATCTCTGTGAGTTCAAGGCCAGCCTGGTCTACATAGTGAGTTCCAGGACATCTGGGGCTACTGGGAGACCCTGTCTCAAAAAGACCAAAAAAAGAAAAAGTCCTTACCATAAAACGAGGTCAGTATTTTTTGTGCTTGCTGTCATTAAAGAGACTTGGGAGTAGAGGCACTTTATGCTGCCACAGGTAAGGTTGCATCACCATTAGGAAAGATGAGAATTTACATCAGGGAACTTGTCTTTAATATATATATATAATGCTAGGCAAATGCTCTACCACTGAGCCCTCTTAGTATGTTTTTGTTGTTGCCGTTGTTTTGAGACAGGTCTCAATAAATTCCCAGGTTGTTCTTGAATTCACTCTGTAGCCTTGAACTACACTCCTGCTGGTATTATAGGCTAGCACTCCAGGCCGGAACGGATTAAAAATGTCCTGGGGTGGGAGATCCAGGGGGTAAGGTCTCATGTGTCAGGCTGGCATTAAACTCACCATGTCACTGAAGATGACATTGAACTTCTGATCTTCCATGCACCCCGTCTTCCAGGTGCTGAGATTATAGGTATATGCCACCATGCCTGGCTAAAGATATGCTCTTAAGCTTTCAGACATAATTATGCTAACATGAGTTTCTTCAAAATTTATATGTGCAGTTTTTGAGGGTTGTTTTTTTCTGGTGGCTATGCCAAAATAGCCAGTAATTAAGTGATTGACTTAAAATGTCTCGCACTTTATTTTAAAGTGCAGAAATATCTCACTTTCCCAAGGACAAGCTCATCATGCAGAAGAGACAGTTGTGTTCCTTTGAGAATCTTTTGTTGTTGAGGCAGGGTCTCTATTTAGCCCAGGTTGGCCCCATACTTGAAATCTTCCTGCCTCAGGCTCCCCACTGTTTGTATTATGGGGTGTACCAGTTGTGTCTAATGCCTGAGAGAAAGAATGGGTAATGCCCAGAGTTTGAGATGCCCCTTCAGTATGAGAAAACACTTATGTCAGCACTGAGGCCTGCAAGGATGAGCAGAGACTTGAGCTGTCACAGTCTAGTTACTCTTTCATTTCCAGCATGATAGGGCACCTTCCTTTAGGTGTGCTGCTCGGTTTGCTTTAGCCTAAATGCTGACTACCTTAAGTATGTTTTAAACATGTTTCTGTCCATGAGACTTAGTTTCAGCACACAAAATTGCTGTCTTATGATTACATGTATATTTCCATTTAGCTTTCAAGTCCTAGATTAAGTCTTTTTTCTTGATGTTTGCAGTACCAGCTTTACTGTCATTAGCTTGGCACTGAACTCTTGGTGTCCCCACAAAGTAGGCAGGCCTTATGTCATTGAGGATAAGTACAAGTCTTGCACAAACTAAAAGCTGTTCATGATGAGCCTTCAAATAGCTGCCCAGTACTCTGTGGGCAAACTTACCTGGCTATAGTTGCTTCTTTCCAGTGGTCTTTCCTTTTGTTAAACTTACAGCAATGAATGTAGATTTAATTCATCTTTTCATTTTTGTAAAAGTCATAGAGAATCAACTTTCAGTTAGTCTCTTCAAGGAAGCGGGGAAAGTTGGGTGCTGCCAGTAATTCTATATCACATTTTTGGCTTTGCACTGTATTTTCTAGTTACCATTGAATAGAAGTGACATGATTATCTTAAGTTCATGATTGGAATAAAACAGTAACAGACCTAACTGGGGACACAGCCAGTACTCACCTAATCTGAGTTGTCCCTTTTCTCTGCAATTGTGGTTCACTGCTTCTTCCATGAGGAATTGGGGGTCTGAGCAAGTCAGGCCCTTCAGGTGAGAAACAGTGAATTAATAGTGAAAATTAAATACAGATTATCTGCTCTGCTTCATTACGTTAAACCAAGTTAATCGATAGTTATAAAGCACATACTTTGTTATGTGCTAGGCTCTTTCTCTTGGCTGGTAGATAACTAAGACCTGGGAATACCATCAAAAAAGTGCTAATTGTATTTGGGTGTTACAAAAGCAGACCTAGACAAGTTGTTCACTTAAATGGTAACTGTTGGTAAAAAAGAAAGTTTATTAAAAGATTATGATCATGTAAAATTACAGTACTCAACCGTTCTAGTAAGATATTTTTTTGGAAAATAAACTAAATGCCTTTATAAATTTGTGTCCTTTTGTGTTCTCATATATTTTTGTTGCGTAGTATATTTTCCTAGTGTCATTCCAGTAGTGATAAGGCTCACTGAAGAACAGTGACCAGTGTTAGCCTTAACTAGCCCTAACTAGTCCTACCCATAGAACTCCTGTATGCATGTGTACTGTGTACCTGAAGAGGCCAAAAGAGGGCATGTGGGTGCTGGAACAGAATAATCCAAGTCCTCTGTAAGAGCACTCAAGGCTCTTACCCACTGAGCCATCCCTCCAGCCCCTAATTTTACTCTTTCTATTTTTATTTATTTTTTTAAATTATTATTTTGGTCTTTTTGAGACAGGGTCTCCCTGTTGCTCCATCTGTCCTGGAACTCACTATGTAGACCAGGTTGGCCTTGAACTCACAGAGATCCATCTGCCTCTGCCTCCCGAGTGCTGGGATTAAAGGCGTGCACCACAGTGCCCAGCTAAAAATTTTTTTTTTATTATTTTCATTTTATGTGTATGAGTGTCTTGCCTGCATGTAGGTAAGTGCACCCATGTCATGCAATGCCAGCGGAGGACAGAAGAGGCCGTCAGATCCCCTGGAACTGGAGTTAT